AGAACATTTTTGAGATGTATGTCAGATAATGTTTTGCCTATATTTTCTTCTAGGAGGTTTATCCATCAGTAATTCTTATTCAAATGCCACTTACTTGTATAGATTCACACTTTAAACCTGGCAAGAGGTTCCCACCTAGACTTTCTCATTCTTGGTCTTCCCTCCTACTATCTCTTTAAATATTCCACTCATGAGAGTATTCTGCTTTTTTAAAAAAATCTCCAAGTGGCTCCTTACCTACAGGTTCTGTTTCATAGCTCCCTCTCAAGGTCCTTGGTAACGTTATCCCACTCAATCTATCCAACTTTATTTCCCACTAACACACACTCTCCACTAGGGTCTAGCCATTTTTTCCATCATTTTCTATTAAGCTTACTTCAGTGTATTCATTCATCCTATTCTTCCTACCTGCTCATGCAAATTTCATCCATCCTTCAAGACCCTTCAAAAGTCCTCCCTCCTCTAGGTAGCTTGCTCAGCAGTCCCTGACACAAAGTAAACACTGAATAAATACCTGCTGATTGTCTTAAAAATAGTCATAATTGAAAGACAAAAATATTGCCAACTCATTCATTCTGTAAAAATTCACATACACTTGGAAAATCATCTTACTACCTCAAAGGAGTTAGATTTATACTGGAAATGATCTTTCCTGACTCTGCCAAAAATGGGCTGTGTAATCTTGGGCATGTCCCTTTATCTCTTTGCACTTCATTTTCCTCACCAGTCAAATCAGAGGGCTGCTGTAGATCCTTACAACCAACAGCACCAGTGGCATCACCTGAAAACTTGTTACAAATGAGAATCTCAGAACCCACCCCAGACCTACTGAACCAGAATCTACATTCAACAAGACCTCCAGGTGAACCAACTCCATGCTCAAGCTTGAGAAGCATTAAACTAGATGATCTCCCCTTAAATGCTCCCCTCCAGGGCTAATACGACCTTGGATATTCCTAACAGTCACTCCCAGGAGAATTTCAAAACACTAAGGACTACAACAAAATTCACACAACTAAAACTATTCTGATGACATAAACAAGATACAATACAGTAAAAAATAAATAAATAAGTAAACCCCACACGGTATGGGGGGGGACCGCAAACAAGAAAACTACTGACTACAACGAATCAAATTTCTTTCACAGAATTTTCATTATGGCGTAAGTACGTAACCAAAGTTAAATATGTGAGTAGTTTTAACAATGACTTGAAATATTGGCGCAAATGCTAAAGACAATACAAACAACTTAGAACAGGGTTCTTCATTCTGTGATGCGCAGCATAAAAAGACTACCTGGTCTGAAGTCAGAGAAACCAGTCAAGTAAATAAATCATTTAACTTTTGGAGGAACGGGGGGAGTCTCAATTTCTAGCTCATCTACCACGGATAATAAAACTTAGCCTACTTCACAGGGTTATTCTAAGAGTTAAACAAGCTAACATGAAAACGCTCTTAAGATCTTTCCGAATGCTCGAATGTCTAAGAATAAAATGACAGCTGGCAACCCCTCCCAAGCTGTTCTGTTTGCCTTTTCCCACCTAGGACCTCCTCATCCACCTCTCAGGAGCGAGATACGGAGGGTTACAGGGTGGTGAATTCGCGGTCGGGAACAACCGCGGGGCAGCTAAGGAGGCGGGGCGGGAGCCGGGTCTCTGCGCTAAAACCCCTCCCCCTCCTCCTTCAGCAGCCCCCCTTCCAGTTCTGGAAACACCTGCCCGGCTAAGCGAGCAATGCAGAGGGGCTGGACCCGAACGGAGGTAGTCAGCGGGCGAGCCCTCCACACAGGGCGCAAAGACGCCCAGAACGCGGGGTCCCGGACCCTCCGGCGGGAAGGTGCAGGAAGACCGCAGAGGACGCGCGGAAGAGGCAAGTAATGCGTCTTTCCCACCTACTAGCTCAGGACCGGGCCGGGAGCCGGTCGCCGCGGCGCGCACGCCTCTGTCCCCGCTTTACCCCAGAGCAAAATTCGAGTACTTTCTGGAGAGGAGGGCAAAAAATAGCGCCGGGCGAGGGCCGCACCCTTCCGCCTCCCGCTCACCGTAAACCGCGTCCGCGCTTCGGGCAAACTGAAGAGTGGCGGCGTCGGAGACATTTTCTCGCCTGCGCGTGCCCGCTGCCGCGCCGCGGCGCCCGTCGATGACGTCACGCCGGGAGCAACGAGAGTGCCGGCTCCGTGCGTGGCTAGAGCGGCCTGCGAGCACAGGCGCGGGCCAGCTGGCGGATGGGATCGCCTGTGGTGACCGAGTCCGGTTGGGCGTTGGAGGCTGAGTCAGCCACTCAGTGCCCGATCCGGGTTCGCGGGTGACCCCTGGGGGTGACGGCATATGCGCGGCCTCGCCCTGAAGGCTCTGCGGGGTGCAGGCTGGGAGGCGCACGTGGCTGTGGTTCTCCTGGTTTGGGCTCAATGGGCCGCGAGGGGAGGTACCGCTGCCCGAGAATTCGAGGCAGGTGGGTTATCGGGAGAGCTCCAGGCTGTGGCTGTGGAACCCCAGACCGCAGCCTTTATCCCCGAAGGAGTGGTCCCAGCCCTGGGTTTGCGTAGTTCGTGGACCCTGTAGCACAGGAGCAGTCCCCTCTTCTGAGAAGTAGAGGCAATGCCTGTGTCCCTGGGCTGCTGAGAAGCGCGAATGAAATAATGAATGTAAGTGTGGCTTGTATAGCCACTCATGTATTATTGGGAGTGTTTTGGAATGAGTCAACTTTGCTGGCACGTGGAGATCTTTACTGAAAGAGGAAGATGGTGGGGAGTGCAGTACTCGGCGCTCGTTGGATAACAAGTGGCGCCGCGTCCCGGGTCGAGGCACCCGTTGCAAAATCCTGTCTTATCGGTAATTTCCTCCATTGTCTCCTCTCACTCGGCCAGTAAGAGAGGCTTGGCTAATGAGAAACCAACGGCAGGAGGTTCTTCAGTTGGAATATGCTGTGGGGAAATAAGCACTGGCCCAAACACGAGGAACTTCCTACCAGCTCTTATTCCCCTTCACGTGTCCCTAAATGAGGAAAGCTAGGCTTGCTTTATTTTGTTGCCTTCGTTGACATCTAGTGAGAACACAGGATGCTAACAAAAAGATGCCTTTGCATAGATAGTCTTGTCCCTAAGTGGAAATTGTAAACAGCAATGGGTACCCAGAACGTTGCAGATTTTTTAGAATCAACAGAATCATTCAGGTTTCATTGTATAAAATTTCCAAATTGCCCAGACAAGCTGGTATTAACTGATTTAATAGGGAGCTGATCTATCTGGAGCACGACTAAGACCTGAGAGGTAAATAAAATTATTTTTTACAAAAATACAAGCAGAAGAAGAGCTTGATTTTATTGACTCATCCGTCAAAGCCTAGTGACTTAGAATTGTGCTTATTCAGCAAACATTTCTTGGGCACTTTGTCCACAAGACAGTATTTGTTGAATGAATAATAAATACACGAACAAAATGATTGAATGAACAAAATATAGCTTAATTTCTTTTTTGAAGAGCTCTGGTTGACATAAGTGAAGCAATTACAGTATATAATTTTGGTCATTTTATTTGTATAATAGCTGCTGTAAGAGATCAAATGAGAGAGAGACAGCTAGAGTCAGGTGG